GCAAAGCCATGTTAATGCCCCTTCCCTAGGCACAAAACGAAGGGATACTGGAAGGGCCACACTGGCTTGGTATCAACAATGGCTCCATCTAGGCCCCTGTTTCTGCTCCCACGCCTAGCCCTAGTTCCTTGGCCACACAGCGCTTTGCGTCTTCTGCGTCCAAGGCCACGGGGGGCTTCTGCCTGCAGGTGGGCAGACTGTGGGCATGTGCAATTTGTGGGGATGTTGCTGTGGATCCATTTCAGTCAAGACTTCTTGACTGCAGTCTCTAACAACATCAAACATCAAACATCATGAAAGCATTCTTGCTTACTAATCCAAAGGGTCAGTTCTGACGGCAAGCTCTTTGGACCAAAGATCTGGAAAACCAGCAATCGGCTTTCCCACACATCAACAACACCCTACAAATGTCATGTGACAGTGGCCGCTTTCACATTCTCATTCAAGCACTGTGGTGCCTGGAGCTTTTTGGCCCAATCAAGATATTGTTTCGGGACGTAGTCATCCCGCCTAGGACGAAGCAAGTGCTTGCAGCCTGCTGGGTCCACGACTTGGGGTCTGACTGGCCGTTGTTGACAACCGGATGATCATCCAACCTACTAGCGCTGGCCTCCAACCGAATAGCGATGGCCTCCCACCCAATAGCAATGCCCTCCAACCTACTAGCGGTGCCTCCTACTAATACTAGTTAATATCGATCCAACCTACTAGCGGCTTACTAGCGATGGCGTTTTACTTGCAGAAGGGAGACCCCCCTAGCAAGTGGCGGGGAAGGGCTGGATGGCAGTCGGTTACTACGGATCAAATCTAATTTCGCAGCGCGAGATGCAAGCAGGCCAAGCTCAGAACAAAAAGTCAATGAAAAGGACCCCATCATCTACCAGCCTCACGAATCGCCTTAGCAAGTTTGTTGCCCTGTTTCACCTTCGGTTGCACGTTATGCGAGCCACCGGGTGGCGACCAAGAGAATCGACAAGCCTCCTGATCAGGATTCACGTCCAGCTTCGGCCACCACCCGTATGCCAGTGGTTTTACATGGTGTTGGAACTCAGCAGAGATGGTTCAGGGAAGGCAGGTCTGTGTGACCATCCAAACACGCAAGAACCAGCACCTTGTCGGTACAAAAAGCAAATGCGAGCACGCTTACCAAAGCTTGGAATCAGCTGAACCCCACACAAAGAAATGGCTTGACCCACAACACTCGCAAATTGAGAAGCACACTCATTCCACTGATTGCCAGGGCAAAGCTCATTTCACCTGTTCCCACCTCTCTCCTCAGCACAATCTCCAGGAAATGCCGACATCTGCACTGGCCAGAGCATGGGTATGTTGAGGCCATCGAAGGGCATGTAACCACTCAAGGACCCATTGCGACAGTTCAGTCCCCCAATTGGAGTAGGCCAAAAAAGGAGTTGGCACGACCTAAGCTTAAATCGAAATGCCAAGGGTAGACCCGCCAAGCGGCCATCTGGAGCGAGAATTTGTGCGCGTTGGGATGTGGCTCTTGTGGGCGCACAAAGTCTGGCACGGTGGATGTGGATGTTCTGCAGCGCAAGAGAAAGTCGATAAACTCCTCAAGGTGAGCCATCTGCTCTAGCTTTCACGGCTGATCCCCAGTCCCCGGTGAGGGAGGGAAAGGACTTCATGCAAACATCAGCCGCCCGATGCGCAACTACGTTGCAAATCATCAAGAACCAAAAGGTCATCATGCCCTTTGATCCAGCGATGGCCTCTAACGTACCAAAAGGGATGATCATCCAACCTAATACCGATGGCCTCCAACCTACTAGCGCTGGCCTCGTTACATTGCGTGCCCTCGCACCGCCCCTTCGAGAAAACTCCACCATTTATCTTATGTGCGCTGCTAATTCAAGTGCACTTGCAAGTGTTCCAACAGCTGTCCATTTGGCAAGCCTACACGCAGCTGGAGCTGGTTAGCCTTCAACCCCACTGCCTATCAAACTCACAAGCTCAAGTCTATCCAAACCCAAGCACGACATAACCGTTCCATCATCGTCCTGAAGAAAGCGCGCCTGCAAAATAAGGACTTCTCCTACATACAGCAATTCCAACGAAATCAGGAACGTGTATCACACCTTCATTCAAGGGAGCAATGCTGCATCGCCCGTTAGGAGCGTTAGCATCCTTTCCGCAAGTAACAGCACTGCCATCACTTCGGAGAAGCACTGTATGCATACCACCTCCTGAAACGTGTGCGTGTGTTAATTCCTGCATCCAAAGCTGGCATGTCACTTTGTCCACAAGTAAGGAAACCGTCTACGCAAGCAGCGGCATTGCCAGCACTTTGGACAAGCACTGTATGACTATCGCCTCCAGGAATGATTGAACAAGTTGATAGAGGCACTGTACCTGCCGGGGCCCAAAGTTTTTGACCTCATGGATGGGCGTCAATGGGAACTGATTCATCGAGTCAGGGAGCCAAGGACCAAAGGAAGAGACCCTCTGTGGGGTGTAAAAGCCCGAGTTTCTACATGCTCAGTAGGATGCATCCTAGCGGCCTGGCGGCCTCCAGGATCTTCCAACAAACGCAACGTAGCTGCTGGTGCCCTGGTTGGTGACCAAAACTGCCCGAGGCCCACCACAATATCCTTTTGAATCAATTCTGCCTGGCTGCATGGAGAAAAACTGTGCAACTTTTAGGTAGTAGCCGCGGAGTCGAAGAGTTGCATCCCGGACGATCGGGGAATAAATCTCATGCAGCCTTTCCTTGGGCGTTCGTCGGTGAAGTCACTCAAACTCAAAATGTATGATTTGGCACAAGCTCAAACTATACAAAGTGATCCGGCGCACACTTCACAATCTCACAAACCTTTTTCAATTTTTCCCCCTGGCATGTCACGGCGCAGTCTTCACAATGGGTATCTGACCTATACCGTATACAACAATCTACTGTGGTTTATAGTGTGCTGCATATGGCTCCCCAGCCATTTTTGACTATTGCTCCCAGCGGCGAACTCCGCAGCTCTCTCGGGCGTAGCGCTTGGATGGGAGATGCGGTCGACGAATTTGTAGTGCCTCCCAAAACCCGTCAAATGTCAGCTATTTCAAACCCACGGATCTCATCGCATCTGCACCAAACTACAGGTAGCAGCCTCTGACTCCAGCTATGTGGCAGCTGGTTCTGTTGCAAGATAAACTTGTGGACCAAACACGTGACATTCGGCAAGCATCCTGCATTCATACAAAGGGTGTTTGCATCAAGTCAAGAAGCTCTTCTTTCCATCTGGGTACTAGTAATGTATATAACGTATGTTACAATGTGGATGCACAGACTTGTGCATGGTGGTGCCCCGGTTCATTCAGATCGGGCTGTCGATTGAGCTGCCACATGCTGGAAGCAACAACCCTCGACACATGAACACTTCGAAGCGTCAGCCAGCGCTGCAGACCAGTTTTCGAAGGTAAGACCTTGAATCCCAAGATCCCCACATTCATATCATTTCATGCCCAGTCCATCTGTTTCCCTCTTCACCCCTCTTGCGGCCCAAATGCGCGAAGATCGGCAAAACACAAATCCAAAAGTCCGCACAGCGCCGGCAACCTGTAGCGGGGCTCACGGGGCTCTCTTTTTGGACCAAGCAAAATGTGTGGAATTCCTGCTCAGCTAATGGTAGAGTCCCATCAATTCATTCCTGTGACTCCAGGACTCAGGGTCTGTTCTTCATCTGTGCCCTCTTCCTGCGACATGTGAAATCTGGCGCATGATATTCAACCATCATCTTATCTTCGTTACCAGTTGCACGAGGACCACAAACCGGACACGCCTTCATCCACAAGAGTCGCAATGCCAATTGTGGAGGCTGTGAGGGCAAGACCTGGCCGAGCAACGGCTTTGCTTTCAGCAACTCCCTGAGGCTTCAAAGCTGTCCACACATCACGCGTTGCTGATGTAGGTACCTTTAGACTCTTAGACTGGAGCATGGTCCCACCCTCATCTGACTGCGATCCTTCCATCTGCCTCCAAAGCCCCGCACTGCCCGGCGTTGCCACACCGCGGCCGAGGCAAAACTGCGTGGCCACGTATGGAAACTGCTCGGCCGCAGGGGGCGCCATGCTGCATCAAAACGGCGCATGGTCAAAGCGGATTGGAATGGAGAAGCTGGGAGGAAAAGTGCATGCTGGAAGTAAGGTAGAATCATGGAACATCATGACAGGTCATGGAATCATGGAATCTCTGCGGCTGTTGGTGGGTGCAATTTGCCTTTTCTGGGTGGTTGTCTTCAAGTCTGGACGGGAGAAAAACGACACACGCCCACACTGCGTAAAGAAGGCTATGATATGCCACCGCGTACTCTGGCTTCCCTTCCACCAATTATGACCCTTCACAAACCAGTCTGATCGTAGGAAGCCTTGTGAGTAAAGGGCAGGTCGATTGCTTGCAGTCACAGGGTGTGTGTAGAGGCTGGAGGGCTGTGTGGCTACCAACTTTGGCTCAGCATGGCTGGTTGACTCGTGCAAAAGTTATGTCAGGAGGTGCCAGCTTATGCCAAAACTGCGGATGAAGCAGCTGCTTCAAGGCGTCTATCTGTCAATCGATCTGGAACAAGTCTGATTTTTCACCGTGGCCCACCTGCACCGATTTAGTCCTGTAACCGGGGACGCTACTAGGGGCTCCTGGCCTTACTACTAGTAACACGAAGCTAAAGAACAACTGGTTTGTCAAAGAGAGTAAATGGCATTGCATCACGCGCAGAAGCACAAGCGAGCCGGAGGAAACAGAATTCTTTCTTTGGGCCTGCAGCTGGTCAGTAAGGAAACATTAACGTGTATTTATCTCGGGTTGTCTTTGAGCAAGTGTCGGGGCAAACAAATCTGGAACATGTACCAGAAACATCTACAAACTAGTCTCATATCAGTGATCAGTGGATATCAGTGGTCAAAGCCAAGCTTGATGAGACAAAGTAATGAGTATATCGGAGCAAAAGTTAAAGTTGCCGAAGAGTAAACAGGTTGGGGGAGCCAAATGCTTTTGCCGAGCAGCTGCTCTGGTTGTGGCTGCGGTTGTGGCTCCTGCCGGGCCTCCTGTCGCCTCGCAGGGTTGGGATGAATGACGCAACTACATACGTCCTTCGTGGAAAACTGTAAACCGACTTCAGCTTGAAGCAGTAACCATGATTCTAGACATACAATGCCAAACCTGTCTGCTCAAAAGAGGGGCCAGGGAAGAAGGGAGTGGTGACCATCAGGACCATGACCACTCGCTGCATTACGCGACACTTGATCACAGCAAAAGACCCTTTTTGTGGCCATGCACAGCGAGCGCATTAGCCGCCGAGTCCATTTCCTAGCCTTACTGCAGTGAGACCTGTAAAATACATGCACTGTGTGAAACGGATCCATGCACGATACCGCGACCTCCAAACATACCTAGGCTGTACCTATTAGGCTCACATCTTGCACCCTGCATAAAAGGGCCGAAGTTCTGACAATACCGATGATTGCCTTTCTCTTTAGTCTCTGAGTTTCAGGAAGAATCGCTTGATCATCCGGGCTTCCTGGCTCACCGTCCGCTTGGATGCGGCATCCTCATTGGCCGCCTCGACAACGTTGATGGTGGTCCCAATGTTCTTCCCAACTTGATCAGCCGAATCTAAGAAGGCAATGATATCCTCCAAGACTGCTGCGAGATGTGGCTGCTGGAATATGAGGGATAAAAGGGAAATGGCAAATGAGATACAGTATGATGAGTCAACGGAGGGGTGAAATGATTGAATGTTTCAAGCCATGAAGTTATGGAGCTTTAAAGCAATTTGACACAAACACTACCTATAGTATAGGATCGGGTTCCCAGATTCGATCTGGCATCGATAAAAACATGGGAAACCATCGTAAAGCTTATCACGCACGTCCAGGTGTCATCGAACACCTCATCGTTGAGCACCACCATGTTCTTGGCCAAGGTCTCTGCCAGTGCCAGCATACACCTCTTAGCGTAGTACCAGGTGTCTACCCCAATCTTTTTGTCCTTCGAACTGGATTGATGCCTTCAAAACGCATTTAAAAGCATGAGCAGTCTCCCAAAAATCTGGAAAAGTATAGAAAACTTACAATAGCTGAAGCAAAGACGGGAGTCGTATGGCTCCAAAGACTTGATAATTCTGCTAATTCCGAATTCGAAGTTGCCTTTGGTACAATACCTCGCACAAAGAAATGCTTTCAACTTTCAAGCGTGTCACTCAGGTCAGGTGGGGTTCCTTTAGGTCATCTATGGGCAACAAGAAGGGTACACTGGCTAAGTGCAGGGAGGTGCAAGGTGCCGATGACCAGATTAATGATGCAAAGATGGTAGACGGGTTTCGTAGGATCCTTCACCTTCTCTTCCTCCCTCTCCACCAGCCGCATGAGCTCTTCAGCTTCTTCATTGGCCGACGTCATAACATATGCCACGCAAAGGTTTGCGAGGATGATTGCTGTGACATTGAGCAAGTCATCATTGTGTTTCCGGACAAAGGGTTCATAGTAGCGAATGCACTCCTTGAATTTCTCCTGCATGAAGAAAATGTGGGCAACATTCAACTTCCAGGACTCGTCTTCGCTACAAAACTCGGCAGACTGTCGAAAAATCTTCTCTACCATGGAATAGTTCTCAAGCTCCCAATAGATTTTGGCTTGACCCATCAGCACAGGGATGTACTTGGCCAAAGCTTCATCAAACTCCGACAGGTACTTCTTCACAAGTCCCTGGTCACGTTGTCTACCTTGGCTTGCGGCCTTCAAAGGTCACAAAAAGTCACTAAGCGTCACAAACCGTGATCACTGGCCGGCCAACAGTTCAGAACTCTGCGCGGCTTCAACTCAAAACATGTGCGGGTCATCCTGATGATTGGGGGGTACGGCCCTGAAGTTGCCCAAATAACACCGCCACATCCCCCTCAAAGCTCAACTTAATCATCCCAGCTGCGAGCATCCTGAATGTTCTTGGTGCCTTTCCGGAGCATCTCTACATGCTTCGCAGAAAGCTCATCGAAGCGCCGGTATGCCTCCTCTGGCGAGGACTGGCCCAAGATGAGAGCGTCCAAGAACTCATAGTCTTCGGGCTTCATGTTCTTGTATGTCCTCAAAGGTCACATGCTTTGGCGTAGGGACTTCCCGGCAACCGTGTCTCTTTGACATGCTCTAGACATCCACTTCATTACTCTGGGAGAACCGGCCTTGGTCAGTCTGTCTTGGCATCAGCCACTACCTATTCTTTTTGCGGGGTCCTAAGCTTCAAAGTCAAGAGGCAGCTCGGCATTTTCTGCAAGGATGTCGGCTGCAAGGTCGTAGTAGCCTGGAAAAATATGTCATCAGTGATGACATATTCCAAAATTCATACCCGCCCAGCGAGGACAGTGAAAAAAGAAAACCAACGTATGATAAATTAATCAAGCAACTGTACTTGCAATAAAGCAGGAGCAAGTTGACAAAAGTTTCTGGCGGAGAAGGCTGCTGGTTCAGCAGGAAGTTCAGCTTTCCTACAAGGTGGACAGTTGACTTGCACAAATCCGAGTGAAACATAGTGAAACATATCTCTAGAATACGCTATATAGGCTTTTTCCAAACAAGCCCAGAAGAGGCTGTCGAGAAAGAAAATATGTATTGTCGACTCTTAAGTGACTATGCGTCCAAAAGCTGCTGAGGTCGTCGCGTCTGCATTCCACGAAGCAAATAATCACTCAAGCAAAGAGGTAAAAGGGAGGGAAGGAAGGAGGGAAGGAAGGAAGGAAGGGAGGGAGGGAGGGAGGAAGGGAGGGAGGGAGGAAGGGAGGAAGGGAGGAAGGGAGGGAAGGGAGGAAGGGAGGTCTGTCTATCTGATCTATCTAGAGGGAGGACAGAATAAACTAAAGGGGTAAAAACAAAACATGAAAGAAAAGAAAGGGACTGGCAAAAGAGAGTAGTATTTGAAGGACCTCGTACCTTTTGGGCCTCCCAGCTCCCCCTCTGCATATCACTCATCCTCAAACCCCAGAGTTCCAATGCACGTTGACACCTCGAAGACTCCAAGCCCTTCAACAGCCACCATCTCAAGTGGTCAAGCCAAGGCTCTGAAACCTTCGGTAGGCTTTTCGTCCATTTCGATCAACGCCTGATTGTGCAAGGTCACAGGATCCAGCTCCGATTCATCACGCGGGGGCATGTCCGCCAGCGCGTCCTTCGCGGCTTCCATGTTCTTCGTCATGTACTCAATTGCCTGAGGAAATGCACAACGATGAAAGGTCCAAAAGCCGTTCACTCAAGGTTGGGCCAAAACATAGGCTGCAGTTGGTTGCAATGAGTTTCTGATAATTGAAAGTCAGGTTGCCGATTTCAGATTGAAGGCTTCGATCAAGGCAGTCTCCCTGAGGACTGAGGTGTTGCCTACGCTCCGCGCTTTCAAGTCACCTTCGGACAAGGCTCCCACACTCAACTCTGGATGATCCCGTACGCCCCGCTCAATGATCTCAGCGATGTGTTTCAAGGCTGGCCCGTACTGCTTGGAGCTGTAGTAGCACAAAGCCACATTGTACGCAAGGCTGGCTTGGTAGCCTGTGGTTTGGGTCGCATCATTGAAGAGCTTCATAGCCTTGATTCAAAGCCGTGGGTGTGAGTGATGTGGGATGTCAACAGTTCAGTTTAACTGTCTAAATTCTGATGTCCAAGGCATGGTCCTCTATGGGACTAAATGGGACCAGAAACTTCAGTGTACCTCTTCTCTTTCCAAAGAAGTGCACCTTCAAAGACTTGTCTCTCTTCAGACCCAGGGTGGCATTGATCCAAAATGCTGCGGGCGAGTTGTGTCTCCTCCTGCTCGTAGGAAATAGTTGCCTCAAGGGGGTGTGCCACAAGTGTCACAAATCGCTGAACAAGATCGCCCCTAAGAGCCATAAAGGACTCCTTTCAAAGGGCCATCACATTTCTCATCATCAAGATCCCCACCCACCTGGAGCATCAGCACTCTCTCTGTGTACTCTGGAGATTCCACTCCAGTGCAGGCCTGTGATGCCTCTTCATACAAGCCGGCCTTGATCAGACTCTGCACATGGTAGATCTTGTACCTAACGTGAAAAATCCCTTCGAAAAACGGGACGAACTTCCACTCTCCTCAAAGTGTTGAACAAGACCCCGTTAAACTTTAGTGTCTAACAGGATGAGGGGAAAACATACAAAGCGCTTTCAACAAAAGGATGGTGGGCTCATCGACGTCCGGCACTACTTGCACCAGCTGCCCGTAGGTGTCTGCCGCATTTGCAAAGTCCTGCATGTGGTAGTAACAATAGCCCAGCAGGGACAAAGCACAGCGACTCTCCGGGAAGAACTGCAGCTGCTGAGTCAAGATTTTTACCGCTTTGTCATATTTCTGCTCCATGATGTGGGAGTAGATTGTCTTCGTCATCTCCCCTTCTTTGATTTGAACTCGCCCCATCATGATGCCCAAAGCCGGCCGGTGCCAGCCGCGAGTTCAAAAGCAGTGATCCTGTTGAGCCGAGACGAAAAAACGGAATTGAGATGGCCACAGTCAAGAGGCTTGGAGTCCGTCAGATATCTGGGCCGTGCGGTTTGATCAAGTGGACTCCCCCGAGCATGGAAAGCATGGGCATAGAAACCAAGGGCAAGGGCTCTCTCTGAGTTGAACTCACTCAGTTCCTCTGCCTGCCTACAATGCTTCAAGCTTCTGGACACGCCTCTTCTCTTCAGCCTGTTGAACATGTTGCCGATATCTTTCGCGCTCTCTTTCCTGCATGGTTCCAGCATAGTTTGTCTGTCCTGTCATACCTGACATCAACAAAACTACATTCTGGCCAACATCTATTGGAGCAAAACAAAAACAGAAGGACAATCACAAGGTTTGCTTCGCATGGGCAGTTGCCCTAAGCTGGTCAGCCAGGCCGATTGAACTGTTGTCTTCTGAAGTCACCAAAGTGGTCGTGCTACCTACTTGCAGTGCCTCAAATGCCAACCTATCTTGCCGGGCCCGTTCTCTGAGCTCCTCTTGCCTTGCGACAGGTTCCAACTGACATGGAGCCACCATGCTAGAAACAAACCAAATTCAAATGATGGTAATTCTGAATTCTGATGTAAGTCGACATTAGTCAACCAGTGCCTGAGCAAGTGTGACCATGGCTTGTCATGCCGACAGGCTTGAATGTCGGGACACAACCCCCACCGGTCTGGCACAACAACGTGTCTGGTTGTTTCTTATAAGTCTCAGCTAATACGTGCCGGAATGTCTCCTAAACCTTAAACATGACCTCTGACCCTTGTTGAACTTCAAAGGCTGGAAGCATCAACCAAGAGCTTACGATCCTCGGTCTTTACAATGTTGCCGACCCAGCCCGAGAGAAAGCTTTTCTCTACCGGTTCAAGATCTTTTGGTGTTGAAATGACTTGCAGCAAGGCATTCTAACGTGAATCCATGTAAACTTCCTCCTCAAACTCACGAACCGCCTTGCTAGCTGGACAGAGGCTCTGCTGGGAACTTGAACCTCGCAAAGGTGAAGCTCGCCATGAGAAGACATAGGCAGCTTGAATATGCATTGGCATGACATTGGCATGTTGTGGGCCATTTAGGAAAGCACATGGCACAGTGCAACTCTTTCCGATGTTCCTCGTATGTCTGTGTCGACCACGCTTTACTGAAGAACCCTCATACATAAGGCTTGGGCATAGAAAACAAATCAAAGCAATGCCTTCAACTAAGCTTCACAAGAGCAACCTCTGACTAAGCACCAACATTCTTCACAGGAACTGGCTTCCAAGCAACCCTCTGCCTCCGGTTCCTCCACAGGAGAGACTGGCGACAGGTCTTCCTGAATAGCTGCACTAAATCCGGGAAGAGTCCATGAGGTAAGTTGAAAATAATAGCGATTGCCTCCAACCATGGCCTCCGACCTAAGAGCGATGGCCGTACAGTAGCAATGGCCTCCAACCTAAGTTGAAAATAATGTGGGTGTTCCAACATGAGACACACTTGAAATGCATCTAGCTCACCCACCTTTGGTCAAAGAACATAGGGCTGAGTAGTCATCCAGCAGCATTTTACAAGAGCTGTATCAACCGCATGGTTCAAAAGGGTTCGTGCTCAAACATCTGATATCATTGGTGGTGGTATGTGTTCTCGTGCATGTCTGATATCACCATTTGGGATATCTTACCATGGCTGTTCATCGTGTGCCCAGTGTCTTGGAGAAAATGTCCAGTCTGTGCTAAGAATAAACGAAGGAAGGTAGGAAGAAGAGAAAGGAAGGATTGATTGTCAAAGGTAATCAAAGGCTTCTTAAGACTGATCTCCCGGCGGCCCACCTCGCCAGAGTCCGAGTTGCTCCTATGCCGGTGGGTGGTGACAGACAAGACTATCTAGAATCTAGCCTGAAGGTACAGCTACACTTTGTCTGCACACCGTCAGACTAAGCAACTGTGTTCAAAGCTTGGGTGGTCATGGGTGGTCTGCAACGGTTTCCTTGCAGTTTCAGCATAGGACTTTGTGCTTGCCTGTAGTCCGAGCTATTCCCACTGTAATCCGTGGAGATCGATCTCCGTGAGTCGCCTCCAGGCTTGGGTGACCCAAATCAGAAAAGCACGAATGTGAGTGACCATTACCATTAGTGATTCCTTGTATATACATCCCTGTCATATCCTCACAGCTTGGAAGTCTCATACAAAAACCTTGAAAGATGTTGAAACGCTACCCACAAAGCAAGCCGCCACAAATCCTTCACAGTTGCTGCATGGCTTCTTTCAGTATCGCGGCGTCTGTGCAGCCAACGTTAGACTGGGTGTACCAGCTAAGCAGCAGCCCACGTTTCTTCTGCTGCCTCTTCTTGACCTTATCACACTCTCCGTAAGAATTAGTAAAGTGCACTGTTTATATACTGTAAAGAACTATCACGCTCTTCGACCTCAGAAACCCCAATGGCAAAACCTGAAGGCCTGGGACATCAATTCTGAGAAGCCTTTCGACTTCTGAGCCCACATCTCAAAGGTCCCGGCCGCAGATAAAAAGATGCAAGCCCCAGCACCTTAGCAAAACCAGATCAGCTGTGTCAAACCAACGTCAACCATGCACTATGACACCACGATCGGAAGTTCAAAATGAGCCACCATGGTGGACCATGGTAAATGTGAATCACTCCTGCTAGACCTCACGCACAAATTGAAATCCAGCGTCCTTCACAAGACAGGTTCCGGAAGCCTCCATGTATGCACTCATATACTCATATATGATGCATTCTTCAAGGGTAGCCATTCACTGTGGACAAGGGAAAAATCATGGCACTGAAAGGACGTAATGGATCCACAGAAGCAAAATGCCTTTTCATTTGATACCTCCCGCCCTCAGTTCGCACAATCGCAAGCAACCTACAAATGGAAAAAGATGCATCTGACTGCTTTCAATTCCCTGATCCTGGCAGCCCTGCTAAGAATGGCCGCAGCCACGCCAGAGATCAACCTTGGTCGAGTGGCCCCCTGACACACTCTAGGTTCCAAAAGGATTGCCCGGAAACGCCGTAAACAGCATAATAATAATGCTGCTCTGCAGAACAATTTTCAAAAAGGCTATTATATGGGTCACAAGAGAAAAGGTCATCCGATTTGTAGAGCATGCACACAGCCCAATAATATAATCACCGCGTCCTGAATTAGAGACAAATCGAGCGAGCGAGCGAGAGAGAGAGAGAAAGCCTTACAATCATCCTGCCCATGCTCCTTTTAGCGCAAACCCGTCCCGTCCCTAAATCATACATCTCAAAGGTAGTACCCGTACCCTGTTTAAACCCATCAGCTGAGATTGGCACAATGTCACCGGCAAGCCGGAGGTTGGCGGGCCTACTGAGAAAGCAAAGGTCAGAACACAGGTTCGTTCGCACCCGGTATCAGGTATCATGTTTGGAGACGGTCAGCCAAGGGCTTTAGCCAGCACGTCTGCCTTTATGATCCAGGAGTTTCTGACGGAATAAAGTGTCATGATTGTCAAGCAAATCAAAAGCAAACAACTTTGTAGCGGGAGGCTGCGGCGCATGGCACTACTATCTATAACTGAACTGAACTTATATGACTTTGACTTTCACAATGGCCGATGCAAAAGTTTCTTTCGGATGGAGATGCTTCTGTCCGTGCATCAATTCAGACCCCTTCAATCTCATCGTCCGTGATGTCATCCTCAATGAGCCGAGCGGACCTGGCCACAACAGTGTGGTGCGTTCAAGGCTTTCGGCATGGAGGATGACAAGAGAAGAACAAATGAAAAATCCTTCAGTGTTCTTTATTCATTCCTGGGAAAATACTTCACAGGGGGCTATGTCGGTCAACAGGGCTCTGTCAACCCAAACGTGAAGATGGCACCCTGGCCTGGAAATCCAGGCTGGTTCAGTTGAAGTGCTTGGCCGCATGGTCACCGGAAACACCAATCGCTCAGACTGATCAGTTCTCCCCTTGCGATCAGATCTGGCAGATCTGCGACCAGTTCTGGCCCACCCACGTTTGGCATGTCTACCGTCAGCTCCGGCAGACCTGCGTCTTGCAGGTGTGCCGACTGGTCTGGCCGCGGAGTTGTCCAGTCTGACCCATGTGATGCAACCAGTCTTGTGACGGTAGGGCTTTGGTTTGTCGTAGCGCTGCTTGTTGTCCAGTACCCAGGCATAGATTTTGGAATATGCAATGCAACTAAGGTCCTCGATGCAATGCTTGGGCAAGTTCTCTTCAGCTCCAATGAAGTTCTGCTGGTGCCACTCGCTGTCACTCCAAGGAATGAGCTGTCCATTTTCCATCCGACCCACCTGCAAACAGTCAACAATATCCACTTCTCCAATCAGAGATTTTGATTTCGACTGTGCAATGCAAATACGCGTTCTTTTTGCCAAAGCGGTCCCTCGAATTTCCCAAATCTTTGTGCCTTCGAAGATCTTCTCACACCATTGCTTCTTGATCACTAGGGCAACGCCAGGCTGCTTTGTCTCACTGCAGTCGATGACCCTGGGTGCTGCATTGAGCTTTCGGAAAACAGGCGACCTGTGTCCAGCAACATTGGGTCCGACGGATTTCCCTGTCTTTCTCTTCTGAAATTCTGATGCATTTTCTGGCAGCTTTGAACCGCCCACCAGCTTCAGTTTTAGAGGTGAAGGATTTTGCACAGTGGCCTCTGATGGAGCAATCCAAGGGCATTCCCCAGCAAGCTCTGACCGTGGAGCTTCGGGATTGGCCTGATTGATCTGATCGGGGTTGCTCCTCGATGCCAGTGGAATGGACGATTTGATGAATTGGAGAAATTTCCCTGGCCGCCTTGGCCCTCTCTCAAGGAAGCCAGGGTCTGGCTCCGAGGCGTCAGGCTGAGCAGGGCATGAGTGTTTTTCGAGTCTACCCCTCTTTAGACTCTTGGGTATGCCTCCACCAGTTGCCTTGACTTTGAGCCCCTCCGGATGCTCCCGGGTACTCAATCCTTCATCTGCAGGCCTTGAGTTCATCGATGGGAGTGACCCAGCAACAGGGG